TCAAGGCAGGAAAACAAATATATCTGCCAGATGGCTGTCCAATTTTCTCTTTCGTTCTTCCAGCACAGGAGCGCTCACCAGTTCCCGAGGAAATTGGTTCCATTGTCGTACTGCTCTAACAGTTAAGTGATTTTTCCTGATCTTCAGCCTAAATCTGGCTCCCTGCAACTTGAGCCCATTATTACGCTTCCTGCACTCTAACCTAACTAAAACATCTGTCAGTGATTCAGCTCATCATTGCTGCATTTGCTGTACCTGATCCACCCAGCAACCCCTAAATCTGGCTCCCTGCAACTTGAGCCCGTTATTACGCATCCTGCACACTAACATAACTAAAACATCTATTCATCCCAACGTTACTGCGTTTGCTGTACCTGATCCACCCAGCAACTCAAGATGACCTGCACCCTCTGAATTCCCCTTCATTTTTACTGTATAATTTAGAACTGAAAAGTAAGCCATTGCTTTTAAGCCAATGCTAAATTCAGAAGAATAGGCCTGGCACAAAGAGGGAATGCGATTCGTTCCTTTCCTCCGACGGTCCTAAGGAGAAGAACTCTTTAGAGGCCATTATTGGCTTTGGGATGAGCTGAAAGGACCACTTAGTGGGACCACGGCATACAGATGGAAAGCCAGACTATATTGACCTTACAAGCCACTCACTTAGTGTGATCAGAAGCTGAACATATATGTATAAATATATGTCCAGTAGAACCCCCATATCCACAGGGGATTGTTTCTAAGCCCCCCGCAGATACTGAAACACGTGGGTTATAGCAAACATTATTTTAATAATGAGCAGTGTACATAGTAGGGGCTTTGGCTCCCTCTCGTGGCCAGTTCTGGTAACTTCATCTTTAGAAAAATATACCACATTTTCCATGTATAAGACACCCCCATGTATAAGACGCCCCCCCTTTCCTAATCTAAAATTAAGAAATCTAAGTGGGGCTTAGCAAGTGTAGGGGGGAAAGGGATCAAAGCGCTGCAGGATCGCTTTGATCCCTGCTTTCCCCTCCATTTGTTTTTGTTCTCTCCTCAGCTTAGTTCCGTATATAAGACGACCCTCAATTTTTAGTCTAACGATTTTAGACAAAAGTATAGTCTTATACACAGAAAAATATAGTATTTCTAGGATTTAATATTTTTAATATCCTCAAGACGGTGGATAAATGAATCAGAGGATACCAATCCCACCGATAAGAGTGGACTACTCTATATTTTGACAACCAAGTTTGAGGGGAACTAAGCATATACTTATAAACAAATGCACATTTTACAACCAACACATCCTGTGCGACAAGAAGTTGAGTAACATGTGCCCATGGGGAGGAAGGTGTGTGTTCCAACCAAATGCTTCCTTGTTCTTACCAGCTCCAATCCTGCAATGGTCTCGGCCATGCCAGGAAGCTCTCCAATCCAGTGGATGACCCCATAGATTGGTGGATTGTTGACCTCTACCATGGAATTGATCTCCAGGTGGTGTTGGTTGTACTCTACATTGTCATCATCATCATCGTCATCCTCTTCTTGGTCCTCTTCTCCATCCTCAGCTTCTCCCTGCTCTGAAGCTACCCTTTCTTTCGTTGGCAGAATCTCCCAATCAGAGGAAGGGCCCAAGCTGGGAGGTTTGTTGAGGGAAGACTCTTCCATCATAGGAGGGTACCGAATGGATGAGGGGAGCAGGCATTCCTTATACTCGTCTGAGGTGGACAAGGAGATGCTGCTGACCAACGTCTCAGCACCTCTATCAGCTTTTTCTTTAGGTATCAGGAAAAAAGACAGGGAAATGACAGAACACTAGTTATTTTTTGACAATAAAAGTGTTTAGAAAAATATTTTTAAGACAATCTCAAATATTCCAACATCGGTTTACTCAGATGTGCTCTTGGGCAGTTGACTGGACAACTTGGGCTTCAAGAGAACACAACTTGAATACACGTGAAGGAAGCAAACACACAAACAAAACACCAGAACTAGTTTCTAGCCCTCAAGGCATCTCATGGGTTGAAACCTTGTTGGTGAGCACAGTAGTTGCACTAGAGAAGGCCCACTGAATCAGTGGGGATTGGCAGAATCAACTGCTCCAGAGCTCTCTTTGATTCCAATGGGTCTACTCTAATCATGACTTACTACACTAGGCAACCAAATGGTATTTGAAGAGCACACACCATTTCAAAAGTAAGTTAAGGGTAGCAGACCTCTGTTCACCCAGGGGTGCTCAGAATGCACAAACAAAAATTACTTAATAAATTAATTCAATTAAACCAGCATCCCAAGACATCGGGGTCTTGCGAGCCTTACCTTTACACACTTTAGAGACAGGAAGCAGAATCCCATATTCGGGAGAAGGGATGCAGCAGAGGGCCTGGCCTTTGAAGCAACCATCCCAGGAACCAACTGGCTCGTCCTAGGATGAAAATTGAACACATATCCAGGGTGGGAAGAGAGTAACAGGATCTCCTTCAACAAGGCCACCAACTCAAGAAGGGAAGACCCAATGTAGACCTTGCTTCTTTCCGTATGACAAGTGATGTTTGATGTGGTTTCTCTTTTCCAGAGATTTAGAATGTTCCTTTCCCCCTTTTTTGGGGAATAACTCATCATGGTCGAGCCGTTTGTAAGTTGAGACCCCACTGCATATCCAGGGTGGGAAGAGAGTAATAGGATCTCCTTCAACAAGGCCACCAACTCGAGAAGGGAATACCCAATGTAGACCTTGCTGCTCTCCATATGACAGGTGATGGTTGATGTGGTTTCTCTTTCCCAGAGATTTAGAATGTTCCTTTCCCCCCCTTTTTTGGGGAATAACTCATCATGAGGACTAGGGGATTATAGGAAGCGTAGTCCCAAAGGGTATCATTTATAAATCTTTTTTAAAACTTGGTTCCTCTTGCATATCCCTGCCCCTGTGTGTTCTGCTCGGCATCTTGATCCGTTCCAAAAGAGGCCAAAATCCTCTTGCATACAAGTTGTGTGCCTGCAGGCTGAAGGTGTCATCAGCTTGTGTGGGTGTAACTTTATGTAAGAGGATTTTGGCCAGAGGGTTGGAAATGCAACATCCTCTTGAAGCTTTCTAGATCAAGAAAATTCTCTTGGACTATAGATTTGGCACCACTGAGTTCGATAGATTGGAGCCAAAGTGGCATGCAAGACAGAGTATTGGCCAGGACTCAGGAGGCCTGGGTTCAAATCCCCGCTAATGAGCCATTAGAAACTCCCTAGGGATTGGAAATGTTCTACTTCAAATGTTTTCTCCCCGACACCCGTTTTAAGTTCAGTTTCTTAGGACTCAGAAAAGAAAGACCAAATTTTGATTATCTCTGGATTTCAAGTGATAACTTTCGAAAAGGTGAGATATTCCCAGAAGCTCTTCTAATTATAAAGTACAGGTAAGGGTTGGAGTTTCACACAGAGATGAGCTGAAAGCATTTTCCACATGTTTGAACAGACTGCCTACTTCTATCTAATCCTATTTAATTTTATAGTAGGACCTCTTTATCCATGGGATGAGAATCCACAGATTCACTTACCCATGCTCTGAAATAGTAAAATAATAATTGGTGATAATATATATTTTTAAAGATGAAGGTACCAGAACTGGCCTCTAGAGGGCGGCAGAGACTATGCTATACATAGCAATTGCTATTATCTGCTATATATAGCATTTATCAGCTACCCGTATTTTTCTGTGTATAAGATGCCCCCCCACTTTTCTAACCCAAAATTAAGAAATCTAAGTGGGGCTTAGTAAGTGTGGGAGGAAGGGATCAAAGCACTGCAGGATCACTTTGATCCCTGCTTTCCCCTCCACTTGTGTTTGTTCTCTCCTCAGCTTACTCTGTGTATAAGACGACCCTCAATTTTTAGTCTAAAGATTTTACACAAAATTATAGTCTTATACATGGAAAAATACAGTATTATCATGGTATATAGAGTTATTTATCTCTATATTTATTTATCTGCATTTTTCAGTATCCACGGGGGGGGGGGGCTTGGGGGGTGGGTACCGCGGTCCTACTGTATTTCCTTTTAGAACATTTAAAGGATGGATCGTGTATTCATTTTGTATGATTGGATGGCAAGGAGGAAATTTTTCCCCCACAGCTAAAGTCAGCCAAGTACTGTACTTTTTTATTCCAGTTCCATGGTATAATTCATTCTTGAATGTAATCTGAAGATCCGAAGGTCCCCATTTTCAAAAGAGTTCCCTCAGCCTGAAGAACCCCTTCCCAGATTTTGTCCTGCCTGCCCCCCAAGCATCGGGTGGCAAAGAAGGGCTACAGTCCTCTTACCAGCAGGATGCCCACAAATACACCCGTTTCGAGCTTCTTGGGAAGGTGGTCGCAGTACACCACCGTGCCAGTAGGGGTGCTGTCATCCATCTTGAAGGAAACCCGGTCCCCAATCTCTATACTGGGGGGTGACAGAGGGTGGCTTGACGTCAGCTCGATCCTAGCGCATTCCCGGACCTTGGCTTTTGGGGACACCGGAGGTGGGCTAACCTCGACCCAATCCTCGGGCTCGATCCGGCTGGCGGGCACGAAGACACCGCCGTTCTCTCGGCAGCTGAAGAACTTCTGACCTTTGAAAGAGCCGTCGGTAAACCCTTTTCCAGCGGCTGAACCCTGCAAAGAAAGAAAGCTTTCCTCAGACATTGCCATCTTCCTTCACAACATACCTCGACGCCACTCTATTTGTCGCCTTAACTTACCACCAGCTCTACGCCAAAGATGATGCACGTATCATGCTTGCTTTTGCCGACGGGCCCCCGGTACCGGATAACACCCCGAACTTTCCGCCCAGAGGCAGACGTGATCTGAACTTTCACAGGGTCCCCTTTCCGGAGGGTACTCAGCCTGAGCATCAAGCGATCCTGCTTGAAAAGAGCCAGCCGCTCGTCGGCATTGGTCACCGCCTCCAGGAGCCCCGAATAGGTGCCGGTCAGCTCCCGGGCGGCCCACGGAGGCACCTTGACCCTTTTGTCCGTGTCCAGAACCTTAGCCCAGAAAGCTCCCCCTGGAGAGACACCACGGATGTCCTCTTGGCTCAGGAGACTCCCTTCCGAGACCTTCACTTCGGCACCGGCCTTGCCTTCCACCGTAAACCCCTTCACCGCAATCCAGAGTCTGCAGGGCTTCATCGCAGTGGTAGGCTGGAAGGCCAACAAGGAGAAGCTTTCAAGAGAAAAGGCAAGGGAAGCATTTTATTTATCGATATAAAAAGTGTACATGCCGTCTTTCTCCTAAAGGAGTCAAGGTAAGGTACTCAAAGAGACTAAGTCAATAAATTATTACACTATTTAAAAAAAGAATACAACAAATATCGGATTTAAACTTACTAATAAGATCAAGATTAAAAGCACAAATCAAAGGAGAGAATACAACAATCCCTTTATAAATCCTCTTAGTCAACCAGGCCTTTAAAGGAAAAGCCTGCCTGAGGAGAAAGGTCTTTGCCTGCTTGTGGAAGGACAGTAAAGATGGGGCCCGGCTGGTCTCCAGTGGGATGGAGTTCCAGAGTCTGGGAGCCACCACAGGGAAGGCCCTCTCTCATGTCCCCATCATATTTAAGGAACCCATTCATATATTTAAGTTTGCAGGTTTAGCATAGTTATGTTTCACTTTGTCAACTCAGAAGCTAGATACGTCCATAAGAGATTCACAAACTTTCAGGAACCCTCACATGAGGGTGGGGGGCACAGTGACAGGAGGCTTTAAAAAAAAACAATACACACACACACACAGAGAAATACACTCAGAGACAGAAAGGGGATATGCAAAACAGATTTCAAACAAAATTTAAAGTTACTTTTAAAAATAAACATGTGTCTTGATATCCAAGATCTACTCGGATCACCCGCATGAGTCAGCAGGTGAGGCTGAGGAGCCTGACGCCGAGGGAGGCCCAGAGGGAAAATACATGAAGCCGGGCCTTCTC